AATTATATAAGCACATATAACGTACTAAAAGAATATTTGCTCGTTAATATGGTACACCCAATCCTAAGTTGATTAAGCTCGACCTCCGATACTAAGGTCTAAGCTGTCTGGACGAGCAACTCCTCAATGTCAATCCTTCCCTTTGCTTCCGATGGTGCTTGATCAACAGACCAACTCTTGCTGGGTCGACTGTCCAACTTCCAATCTGCCTGCCAACCAAGCCTGAACAATACAGCAGCAGTATCGGAGTTATATTTAGTTACAAGTACTCAAATAAAGTATCAAAGTATATAATATCCGGTACTTGAAGCAGTGTCTATATATCACTGTAATTGAATTGTCTATTGCACAGGTCTATTATATATTCACGTAAAGTATATATTCAAAGTCTATTATATCAGGTACTTGAAGCAGTGTCTACATATCACTGTAATATAGGTGTCTATTGCACAGGGTAACTAAAGTTCTTTAAGTGTCGGTATAACAAATAAAACTTTAAAACTTCTAAATTTTAATTAGAGGGAGATTTTAGGAACTCCTTTCAAAACTTTTCTATAAACTTCTAAAAATTTTAATTAGAGGGAGATTTTTAGAAACTCCTTACAAAACTTTTTCTTAGAGGTGTAGTTTTATCCAATACCACTTCTATTCAAGATCAGCCATTTTGGGCCTCCTTGCTGTCTTTTTGAAAAATAGAATTTTTCAAGAGCAGCTTGGCATATGAAAGACCTCTTTTAGAAGTGAATCAAGCAAATATAAGCTTGGTCGTTTTAGACTAATTGATAAATAATTAGATTAATTGATAAATATGTATCTAGATATCCCCTGTAGCCACTAGTTCCCGACTATTGGATCTATTCTTAAATTGATTAATTGATTAATTGATTAATTGATTAATTGATTAATTGATTAATTGATTAATTGATTAATTGATTAATTAATTAATTGATTAATTGATTAATTGATTAATATATCTAGATATCCCCTGTATCCACTAGTTCCCGACTATTGGATATATTTTTAAATTCATTAATTGGTTAATCGATTATTATGTATCTAGATATCCCCTGTATCCATCAGTTCCCAACTAGTGGATCTAATCCTGAAGTGGTTTATTTATTAATATATATCTAGATATCCCCTGTATCCATCAGTTCCCAACTATTGGAGCTAATCCTCAATGGATTCTTAAATCCTATTCTTGGTCCAGCTCTGACATCAGATACTGAATCTGTAAGTATAACGGATTGATAAGTATTCTATTTCACAAAATGTTTCAATGATATCTCATTAATTAACACTTAACTAGGTCCCGATTTATTGGGGAACACGTTAGAACCACAGGAGAAAGTTAATAACTTGGTTTTAAAATTCCAAGTTAAGTTTGTTGATATAAAAATTTAGATTTTCAGGCAACACTGGGGGTTTTCTCAGATATTATATATTTTAAATGTGCGAAGAATTGCGTGCAAATACATTAACCACAAAAGCGTAGCTAAGCTTATCACTAGAAAAAGGGTTGCAAAGTTTAAGTGAACATATTTTATCAGTTTTTAAATAATAAGATATGTTAACTCTAGGAAATAATTGCGTACACTGCGTACCTGAACTTTTTCCTGACAGAGATATCAGCAGATCCCCTGGTTGTTCTCATCATTCGGTTAGTTTCACAATTTCTAGTTTTTTCCATCTTTTTCTTTCAAGTTTTATCTGTAGTGTTTTCTTTTATTTTAATAGTGTGTTTACTTCTAAAGATTTGATTTACTCATCCCATATTTTTAAATTTTATCAAATCTCTTTTTCTCTATTTTTTCTGAAATAGTACATACATCTTTTTCCGTTGGATCCGCAAGATTTTGGCTTCCTGGATCCGAATCCGCTAAAATATGCGGATTCATACAATCAACCAAAAACTGCAAAAACAAAATTTACTCTCAACTCAAATTTAACCATTATAAAAGAGAGATTATAAAAATTTCCCGATTTCTGAATGGTTCATCAAGTTTTAGCATAAAAATAAGCGAAAAAATAAGACAACAAATTTTCAAAATTCGGATCCGGATCCGCATCAAAATTTAATGGATCCTGTGCACTATTCAGAGGTAAATAAAAACTTGGACATCAACTGTTTTCAATATTTTTAACCCGTGCTTAGGATGTCGATCCAAGGGGTAAAATATCAACCAAAAACTGCAAGAACAACTTTTGTACTCCTAAAACCCAACTCCGAACTTTAAAAAAAAGAAATTATAAAAATTTGAAAAGTATTTTTTTTTCAAAAAATTCAGCAAATCTTAATGAAATGACCTGGATCCGGATCCGGATCCATTTTTTTCCAGTGCGGATCCAGGATCCGGATCCGCATCAAAATTAAATAGATCCTAAGCACTGTTTTTAACCTTCTAGAAAAGTTTATCTAATTAATTTTTCTAGGTTTTTAATGACGTTCTCAGTAGATGATAAAAGTATAAAGGACACTCTAATATCAAGGATCAACTCTTCTAGTCAAGTAAGATATTTTATGATAATTAAATACAGAATTTAAATAATTTTCCAAAAAAAACACTTTTCAACAATTAATTTAAGGTTAGCGTTGTGACCCTTTCCCTGTTTGAAACAATACTCTCTTTTAATCTGGAGGACGTGATGTTCGGATTAATATTTCAATACTTGATATCATGTACCTACTTACTCTCCTCCCATAGGTAATATTTCAATATTTAATATCATGTACCTACCTACTCTCCTCCCATAGGTAATATTTCAATATTTAATATCATGTACCTACCTACTCTCCTCCCATAGGTAATATTTCAATATTTAATATCATGTACCCACCTACTCTCCTCCCATAGGTAATGTTTCAATATTTAATATCATGTACCTACCTACTTTCCTCCCATAGGTAAAATTTCTATAGATAGATGGATAGGTGAATAGAGTGATTGATGGATTGATGGATTGATGGATGGATAGGTGGATAGGTGGATAGTTGGATGAGTGGATAGAGTTGATAGAGGGATAGGTGGATGAGTGGATAGAGTGGATATGAGGATAGAGTGGATAGAGTGATTGATTGATTGGCTGATTGATTGATTAATTGATCTGTTTATTCCAGAGATAAAATCTGCTATGCGGATCCACAGGGTCGCGCTGCTTTTAAATTCCTGAGCTTAGGTAAATCTTCTCCACAACAAACTAATAGATAAGAATTCTTAAGCTTCGTGTGAAAAAGTCTCAAATTAATTATTCATTTATTTTTGAGACTCACTGTAGTCCATTTTTATAATAGAAACATTTTTAAAAAATGTAATCGATAAAGTTGCGCATTTTTAATCATTGAATCATGTAGTTCCAGTGTCATGTGACCCTCCTGAAACCCCTGTTACGCCTCGACGTAACCCCTTCTCCGCCGCATCCCACCCTTCTCCTTCCCGCCCCCTGCCTCCCCCTGGCTCCGAGGAACCTGGATGTCTGGATCCTAGCCTAGGTGACCCGACCAGCTACCCGGGAGCTGTTTATGTAGGAACCAGTAACTACCAGCAGTATATTAGGTAGTAAATACAGTTAAGGGACTGTCAACATTTTTTCTAAATTACCTTTTAGTTAAATAGAGTTTTAGGGGAAAATGATATTGGTATTGGATAAAGTCGAAGTAAATTCGATATCGATTGGTTTTTTTTCATCTGATTTTACACATCGTCCTAAAACATAAGGGAGAAAAAAGATTTCTATCAATAGATTTCGAATCGATGTCAAACACCAGTCCTTATCCAAATATCAAGGATGGTGATATCCTAAGTTTTTATTCAGTATTTATATTGTAAGGTCTCTTTAAGATTCGATAACTATGAACTAATTACTATTCAATCAATTAAAATAAATTGCTCTTAATGAAAATTTGATGTACCTCTCAGCTTATGTAAATTACTTAATTAACTTTTCAGCTTTTCTCAACATTAAGACCCATTGAGAAGATTTGCTAAATAGCAAGAAGTAGTTGAACCGCGAAGACTAAGCTAAACCACTTAAAACTTAAGAGAAGTGGATTAACTATATCTCTCTCTATTCAGTTAAATGTATTTCGAGACTATCAGATTAAGCCTCTAATTATAGTTGTTACGGTCTTGACACTTTTTTTGAGGGATCAACAATATTAACAATGTTACATTTTAGAACCTGTCGGCAGATTATTCGAAGTACTGCATGTGACTGCCTTCAATGGAAAAATAGGTAAAAAGACAAGAATATAGAAAATTATAATTTTATTTTGAAATATATTTTCTCTAATTGTCAGCATTTAAAAATAATTTTCAAGATCCTAAAATTGCCATAAAGTTGAACCTTTTCAATTCAGTTAATTCCGAAGTTATGTTTCTTTTGACTAGTTAGTTCATAGAGTTTCCAAACGATCTGATTTATATTTTAAAATCAGGCAATTAATTTCCATTCCAAAACTTAGTTTAGTTTCATTTGTCAAATCTGCAAAGATTAAAACCACAGATAAAAATTCACCCTGTTGAACAATTTACTGTACATTGTCAATAAATACAGTAGAATTTACAGTACAAGGTACATAAATGTATAATTAGAAAGAACTATAATATGATCAGTATTTTCTAATTCACCCTGTTGAACAATTTACTGTACATTGTCAATAAATACAGTACAATTTACAGTACATGGTACATAAATGTATAATTAGAAAGAACTATAATATGATCAGTATTTTCTAATGCAGATATGATGGTAGCGATGAGTTCAGGCGTTCAATTAAGACCAGAGCAACTCGTCAGCAGAGTTTAGGTAGTACTTTAAATCATAATTTACAATTCTTTGGTAAAATCTAAGAAAAAGTCGCCTGGCCTCACCCCCTCCCGCCCTACTTACAGCAACCTTAGCGGATCTACCTAACCTAGCCTAACTTGAAATAGTTGGTATATCTGTACACTACACATGGGAGGGGAAGTTCTTGGAGTTAATTCAGACCAAGTTTTCGTGACAGTTTATTTCAAGATTGATTCAAAATTATGCAATGATGCAGAAGTGAAGTCAATAGGATAAAGTTTAAAAATATTTTTACATTATTTATTGATCTTAATGATTAGGGATGAAGATTGAGAGAGCAGGGTTTATCCTCGATAGCGACCTGGTTCACGACAATGTACAAATCATTGACAATGCTACAGGTTGAACATTTTTTTACTTGATATAATTGGATGGGTTTTTTTGATTTTCTGTTCTTTTTCTGAATGATTGTCTACACTCTCGAGAAAAGTTTACACAACTACTTTTTGCGAGAATGAAATTTAGAAAAATTATTGGACCCGATGAATTTTTTTACTACTGCTGTTTTCCTCTGTTTTTAAAGGGACAACTATTTTTTTGCTCATTTGAACTACTTTTTGACTCATGTAAACTATTTATTTTGCTCTCATTTTAACTATTTTTTGCTCATTTGAACTATTTTTTTGCTCATTTGAACTATTTTTTTTGCTGAACTATTTTTTTTGCTCATTTTAACAATTTTTTTTGCTCATTTGAACTATTTTTTTGCTCATTTGAACTAAATTTTTTGTTTTCTCATTTAAACTTTATATTTTTCGGCTCAATTGAACTATTTTTTTTAATAGTTCACATGAGCAAAAAAATGTCCTATGCGAATGTTATCGTTTGAACTATTGGTCGTTTGAACAACTACTCGTGGTACCACGTGCAATAGTTCAAACGACCAATAAAATTTGCAGATAATAAAAGTTTTTGGAAACTGCTTTTAACAGTTATGTCAGGGAATAAAAGTGTTCAGTTCACGCGGTATGCACTGCAGCGTATACTGCGTTTTACATAAATTCAAGGGGTTTTCAATAGATTTAAACTCGGAGCTCTCTTCACTTGATGAACAGTAAAAGGGCACAGTTGTAAATCAGGCATAGCCCTCTCTGCATGAAAGGTCACTTTAAATCCTAGTATTGTTAAGGTTCTGGAAGTTTAAGCGGAGAGAGTAGTGGATATCTCAGCGGAAACTGGGAACTAGAAGCAGAGGTAAATACAAAGGTCCACATAATACTAGGGAATTTAATACAGAGGTCCCCATAATACTAGGGAATTTAATACAGAGGTCCCCATAATACTAGGGAATTTAATACAGAGGTCCCCATAATACTAGGGAATTGAATACAGAGGTCCCCATAATACTAGGGAATTTAATACAGAGGTCCCCATAATACTAGGGAATTTAATACAGAGGTCCCCATAATACTAGGGAATTGAATACAGAGGTCCCCATAATACTAGGGAATTGAATACAGAGGTCCCCATAATACTAGGGAATTGAATACAGAGGTCCCCATAATAATTGAGAATACAGGCATGGGTTACCGTAATACTGGCTTAATACTAGTAGGGCATGTGAAATAGTTTTTGGAAATGTAAATATGTATTACAAGCCAATTTCATTTATTCATGAATTATTTCTTCTAGCTTAACAACCTATTGGGCATTTGAGGAGGTGAAGTTGAAAATAGCTGAAGTTCAATATTTATTTGTAAAACATTTTAAGATATTAAATATAGGATCCTTTCTTCAATTGTTTTGCTGCACTATAAAAAAAATTACTTTTCAAATTCCAAGTCTTTTTTTTTGGAAGATTTTGAAAACTAACAATAAACCTGCATGAAAAGTGAATAATTCATGTCCTTTAATTGAATCAGGAGGTCACTCTGTCTCCAGAGGAAGAGACTGAATTCTGGAGTGCTGTCGGAGGATCGGAGATTACAAAGGAGAGACTGAAAACCGTCCTCGCCAGAATACAACACGAGGACAGGTAAATCATCACATATTGTCGAAAGTAGAGGCCGATTTTAATCAGGGGTATATATTTTTTCCAACAAATCCACGAGGCGTTTGTTACAAATTCAAGATTTTTGGGAAAAAGTATTATTTAGGGTTGAAGAAAAATGCCTGAAGATCCCCACTTTTTCATATTTTTCCCAGAGCAATCGAAAGTCATTGACGCCACCTCTTCCCCTTGTATATAACCATTAACCCTGTACTAAACAGAAAACTTAATTACTTTTTCAATGTAGTTTTAAGGGATATTTCATGGAAAAAGTATTGAAACTAATGTTAGTAACAACAGTACCTAATCTATGAATAAGGTTTGAAGATATCTTCGTTTTTAAGATTTTGTGGAAACTGCTCTTTAAGAAATCTGATGATGGAACTTTACATCACGGGCGCGAGCAAAAATATTGTCCTAACTCAGTAGACTATTTCATTTATTATAGGCATTATAATCAATAATCAATTTATTATAAGCATTATAATCAATAAGATGAATCTTATTGATTAGACGTTATTATAGTTTTTATTTGAATGTGAAGAACACTGCTTTGTATATATTGGAGAAGATATTTTAATTTAATGTCTTATTTTAAACTAAAAAGTTGAATTTCTTAACATTTTTATCTAAATTATTTAACAAAAAATTAAAGCTTAAAAATGTTCTTTCAGGTTATCCTTGTCTAGCCTGTGCAGTGATGAACTCTCCCCTCGTCCCTCCCTCCCTCTTGAACTCTCCCCTCGTCCCTCCCTCCCTCTTGAAGATCGTCCTCATCTCAATGATATCCTTCATCCCTCCCCCAGCTCCTCCCCGTCCCTCGGCCCCTTCCTCACCTCCCTCCTCACCTCGGTGCAGAACTTTGAACAGAACAAGCTGGCGTTTAACCTTAGAGTAACTGCAATCATTTCAAAGGTACAAACTAGTAAAGAAAATGGCAATATAGAATTCAAAGTTTTATTTTCGATATGCTTTCTCTCTCATGCGGATAACGGATTAAATAAAAAGTTAATAATAGTTAATAATATGAACGTTAAAGATTTCTCTATTACTTTTTGTCAAAATGATTTTCATTTTTTGCCATATCAAAAGAGTTGGTCGAAATATAGCGAGTAATCTATGTTTTTAGGAAGATAAATTCCCATGAAAATTCTAAGACTTATGTTTTCAGTTGGCGGCATTCCCTCAACCCCTCCTACGCTGTATTCTCACCCACCCTGATATAATTGTACAACCTTCATGTACAACACTAATACAGGCAATTTGTAAGTATCTAAGGAAAAGATGTGTACATTGTGCATTTTTGTATAAAAGGATGTTACTAAAGTTGTTGTACATACATCTATACATTTCGGCTACTCTCCGATTTGATATTTTTGTTAAGACAATTAATCGAATAATGTAAAATATATTGGAACGTCTCGGAATCTTAATGAGTTCTTTAAGGAACTAGATCTTTAAGTTAAAAACATGGATAACCCTTTCATTCTTGATTATACAAAGCTTTTAAGGGTTCAGTTGTAAACCGGACATGACGCTCTATAATTGGAAGATATTATGTCCACAGTCCCTTAAATGCAGTGCATATTTAGGTACCGCTCGGTCTCGTCTTGACTCTGTGATGCCTGGTCTACTGGGAGCTGAGGAGGCAGTTAGACAAGCACGACAATTCCTTCAGGATAGGTAGAAGAAATTGATACATAATAATGGACGATACTGCTCTAGACCCAACATCAAAGGGGGGGGCATTCAAAATATGGAAAATTATAAGATCAGTAAAAAAAATCTTAATTTGTTTAATTGATTCAATGAAATATTGCTCAGGGTATGATAGTAATTGCAAGTTTAATCTGATTTGAATGGCATAAGCCGATCAAACAAATTTAGATTTTAAACTTTTCCAAAACATATTAAGTGGAGCAATAAAAAGGACAGTTGGTAAGATTAACGTTTTTGATATGATACATGTAGATTGTAGATATTTTATGCATGGAGATTAAAATAATTTACATGTAGAATGTAGATATTTTATAAAATAAAATAACTGTTTCAGGTTAAGTCCTGGTAAGAGTATGAGTACTGCAAGCATCACATCTTTGCCAGCTTCTTTTGGTAGGTATCTCGGTTGGTTGGTTGGTTGGTTGGGTGTTTGGTTGGTTGGGTGGTTTGTTGTTTGGTTGGTTGGCCAGAATACTCTACTAGAGAACGAACAAATTTAAACTTACTGATTGTTATGCTTATAAACCTGATTTATCCTAATTGAACCCTTCAGAACTGATAGAAATTTAAACCTAACTTTTTCATTTTCTTTCAGGGGAATATTCCCGGAGAGGAAGTAAACTGCTGAATATGTTGGGACGAAGATCAAACCCTCTCTCCTTGTCTAACCAGAGAACTCAACCTGTCATACCTCCTCATACACACAGGTTTTTACCAATCTCAAGTCCGGTCCTAGAAATTTTATTAACTAATGTATTTATTTAAAATCACTATTTAGAATGGCAATGGCGGCAGTGTTGTTGGAAGAATGGTTGCAAGAACTTGCGGCAATTGTACAAGAGCACGCTATAATGGAACAACAAGCAGCAATTATGCGCTAAGCGGTTTTGAAGAAAATCGTGCAATATAACTAGCACAGTCTTCACAAACTTCACAGTTTTAAATTTCATTTACAACATAGATTAATTAAAATAACAGATAGAACACTAGTATTGTGAACGAGTTTCATCCAATTCTTGAAAAGACGACATCTAGTGTCCTATCTGTTATTTAAATTAATATATGATATACAAGTTTTGTTAATATTTCATCCTCCCTGTTTCTCGTGATTTATTTGATAAATTGTACTTTGTGTAATTTAAGCCTAATATTGATATATTGACTCTTTAATTCTGATCCGCTGTGATTTAAAATGTATATTCATATTTCGGCCTTAGGCCAAGTTTTATATTTTTGATCTTTACGTGTGACAACATTGTTAATCATAAGGTTTGATAATATCTCTGTGCAATGTAAATGTATATTGTAGAAATGATCTTAGGCCATTCCCTAAATACGTTTATATTGGAATTCGTAGCCATCCCTTTAAAAATTTGAATTTAGATAATGTTGCCATCTCTGTAAAAATGGTAAATTGTGGCCATCCCTGATTAAAGTTAGTTAATTTATTTATTATTATAAACCATGAACGCAATAGCATAATCAAAATCTCATATTATTATTGATCTACCAGAAAAAGACATTAATTGTGTGAATCTAAAATTTAGTTGTAAATACAAAGAATTTTTTTTGTTGTATCAAAGGCGAAATATGTCAAAAAAGCAGGGGAAAACTAACTTTCTGGTTTATAATTGTTAACAGAAAATGTTTTAAAGATTTAATTTTGTTAACTTCAAATCTAGATATTTGATTAGTAATCCTGTGATTGTTGTTTTCTAAATAAAAAGATCGGGTAAATTTATTCTTCATTCTAATAATGATAATAATAATCGCTGTAAACCTTCAATTTAGGTTCTATTTTAACAATAATATATACAAGGTGAGTCAAAAAAAAAGTGTGATTTGCGGCGCCTGGTGCAAAATTGTACCTTTTTTTGTGCAACTCTCCTGTATGGTGTTTTTTCAATATTTTTTGAAAATTTGCAATTTTTTTTGGTACAAAAGAAAATCCGCGAGTCATTTTTTCTCTCAAAATCAAAAGTTTAGAGAAGCAAAAATGTGTATATAAATTATTTCTATCGAAATCTAAAATTTTATAAAGATTGAATCACAGAATCACAGAAAATTGGCAAAATTGTAATAAGCAAAAATTTGCACATTTTTGTTTAGGTCTCATTTTTAAGGAAAAGTTATTTAAATTCTTTAGTTCCTTTCTTCTAAGTATATTCTAAAGTATTAAATATACGCTGTTTAGTTGAAACCTTAAGAATCATTGAAAAACAATTTTTCCGAAAAAATTATACCAGAATTGAAAATTGCGAATTTTCTAATTACAATTTTGCAAATTTTTTGAGATTCTGTGATTCAATCTTTTCAAAATTTTAGATTTCGATAGAAACAATTTATTTACACATTTTTGTTTTTCTGAACTTTTGATTTTGACAGAAAGAAAGGTTCGCGGATTTTTTTTTGGACCATTTAAGTACCAAAAAAATACAAAATTTTAAAAAATATTAAAAAAACACCATACAGAAGAGTTGCACAAAATTACACTCTTTTTTGACTCACCCTGTATACATAATATTAAGAATGAATATCCAGGTAATAGTCTTGTACTTTAAGAGACGACATTTTATCAATAAAATTGTTAGCAGCAATCATTTGTCAACACAATCTTAGCTATTTAATAATCCATTCCTACCATTTCTAAAATGTGGTGATGCCAACAAATAAAAAATCTTTAAAAAATTCCTAATATCTGGTATTTTCAATTAACAAAAAGGGCTGTCCTTTGGAAATTGAAGAATCATGCTTAAAAAATTAGGTTGAAAATTAAATGCTGGAAATTTCAAAGATGATACCCAAGTCTTCTCATAATGGTTAAATAATTCCGTTTCTTTATGAATATCTCTGTATGACAATGACGTTGAAGTTTTCAAACTTTAAAAAAGGGCTTTTTATTTCGAGTGTGTATTCATTTCTCTAAAAACGTAATTTCCAGATGTTTCGCACGGATTTTCAAATTACAGATGTCGCAATGTTTATAAACAAGGAACTGTGCGCTGCTCGCCTGCTCCACTAAACGAACTGGAGACTACGTATGGGAACTCGGCTGAAATTGTAGAAAGATTATTATCGGATAACGTTATATATTTATTTAGAAGTTAGGTATTTTCTCAAGATGCAACTTCCCAAGGGTATTTTCCTAAGTAATAACTTCCCAATGTGCAATTTTCCAAGTCTGCCTTGGCCGCAGCGCTCGGCCCCCAATATTGCCTGTGGCGCCTCAGAAGGCCTAACCTATAACCTTGGGGAAGTTATCGCTTTTGGGAACTTGCACATTTGAGGAGTTGTAACTTGGGAAGTCGCCCTTGGGCAAATACCTAACATTTTTATGGATAAATCTTACTGAAGCTGGAAGCTGTTAAATGTTTAAATTCAAGTTCTTCACGCAGGTATATAACTCATACAACTAGTGATGGGACAGAGCAATTGGTTTAATTTTTATCAACTTTATGGTTTTGGACTTCTCAAGATTCTAAACAAAAATCTGCAAAGTTTTACATATTTCAAAATGGTTTATTCAATGAAAATTTGCTGTTCTTTTCCTAAATTTGGCGTTCAAAGAAAATATATGCAAAAAAAGAACCAAAAATAATCGTTTTTGGTTCGTATTTCCTTTATATTGTCAATTAGGATAAAAATATAGCAAAGTTTAGTAATGGCATTTACAGAATATAGTTTTTGTTTAGGTTCTTTAAATTAAAAGTCCAAAAATTGACCAAGCTATGCTTTATCATTAGATACAGGGTGTCTCACAAAACATGACAGTAGCAAGACGAAATGAAGGTCGTCTTTGATCGTTGAAATAATCTGTTGCATTTTTTAGAACCAAATTTTATAGTTCCTATGCACATGATACCCCTAGTCTTGACATTTTATAATTGTGGTCTGCCTTTGTTACTATCATGTTTCGTGGGGCACCCTGTACAACCGACCTAGCATTCATTAAATCTGAAGTTTTCACTAATATATGAGTTCGGTTTTCCCACAAGGCAAGAATGAGATTATCTCATTTTGCTCAGTTAAAAGTCACATCTGGAAAGTCTGCTGAATGTTAAACGTTAAATATGTAATGTCGAAGTAATTCTTTAAGCCCTTAACCGATTTTCTTCAAACCAGGGGAAAAACGTTTGGTAAAAAAAACGTCACCGATGGGGGTTTTAAAATCAAAGCCAAACTAAAAGATCAGAATTTTTCTGATTTATTTTTTCATAATCTTGATAAAATTGTCTAGTTACCTATTCCATGGCAAGCTGCCCCTACCTCCCCCCGTAGGTTAACCGCTATAACAGCGCCCATAAACTCAGGATACTTCACTGATATCCGGTTCACCACCTAGAAACAGATATCCGGTTCACCACCTAGAAATAGATATTTGGTTCACCACCTAGAAACAGATATCCGGTTCACCACCTAGAAACAGATATCCGGTTTACCACCTAGAAACAGATATCCGGTTCACCACCTAGAAACAGATATCTGGTTCACCACCTAGAAACAGATATCCGGTTCACCACCTAGAAACAGATATCCGGTTCACCACCTAGAAACAGATATCCGGTTCACCACCTAGAAACAGTTCATCAAATTTACTTTTTCTTCTTTTCAAAATTATGACCATTAAATTTACCTAATTGCCAAGCTAACACATTTAACATTACAAGAATCACATTGAGAGTGTTCGCAATGGTGTTGGGCTCTAATAAATGTGGTCTTGCAAAAGGAAAGGACATGGGTCCTACGAAACATGACTGTAGATGAATATAGTTTAAAATGTCTTCTTCCATAAAGTGTTAAGTTGTTGGATACCAAAGAGAAAATTCAAAAATATTATATAATATTAGAGTAAAAGTGATTTCACAGTAAAATGTATTTCAGTTAAAGATTTTTTAACGAAATAAACTGCAAAAAGGCTTCAATATCTAATACAATATGTGGAAGAAGACATTGACAACTATTCACCAAATGCAATGTTTCGTGGGATACCCTGTATTAGAAATCTAGGTTGGACAATAATAGAAATAATAGATATTTTAAAGACAGAAATAGGGAAAACAATTTTAGTTTTATTGTAAATTCCAATTTTCTTTGTCCCTAACCTGTTGAACTGCCATTTGTGGGCTAGAACCAGCTCGCATAGCTTCTACTGCTAGAAGGGAGGGTAGGATACGCATCATTATATCTCCATCTCCTGATATATTCATATATTAGAATCTCAGGGTAGAAGCTTCTACTGCTAGAAGAGAGGGTAGGGTACGCATCATTATATCTCCATCTCCTCATATTTTTCTATATTAGAATCTCAAGGTAGAAGCTTCTGCTGCTAGATGAAAGGGTAGGATACGCATCATTATATCTCCATCTCCTGATATTTTTCTAAATTAGATTACCTGTTTCTGCTGCGGATGCTTCTGTTTACCTGTATTTGGTGCTGATGCCCCTGTTTGTCTGTACATGCTGCGGATGCTTCTGTTTACCTATATCTGAAGCGGATGCTCCTGTTTGTCTGTAGATGCTGCTGCTGCGGATGCTTCTGTTTACCTATATCTGAAGCGGATGCTTCTGTTTACCTGTATCTGCTGCTGGTGCTCCTGTTTACCTTTATCTATTGCTGTTGGTGCTCCTGTTTACCTGTATCTGCTGCTGGTGCTCCTGTTTACCTGTATCTATTGCTGTTGGTGCTCCTGTTTACCTGTATCTGCTGCTGCTGATGCTCCTGTTTACCTGTATGTACTGTTGGTGCTCCTGTTTACCTGTAGCTGCTGCTCATGATGCTCCTGTTTACCTGTATCTACTGCTGAGTCTCTTGTTTACATGTAGCTGCTGCTGCTAGTGCTCCTGTTTACCTGTAGCTGCTGCTGCTCCGACCTGTGAGTCAGCGTATGCCCCAGCTCCAGGTATAGGGGAATCTCCAACTCTCCTAAATATTTAGATTTTTTATTTTCACCAAATTTTAAAGATTTGTGATCATATTTTTAAAACATTTTTGTGAAATGATAAGACATATTTATTATTCACTTGATTGTACTAACTGAAACCTACCCTGGTATTTTATAGCTTGCTCCATTAGTAGATGTTCCCGCCCCAACATTACCGTTTACGTCTATACCAATCATACCTGCAACAAAGGTTTTTAATCTATTGATTTTGACAATTTGTTGGATTTTGTAAAAAAGTTTTTTTCCCAGAAATCTACCTGGGCAAATTCGTTCGAGAAAAGTGGGATTGAAAATATTTTTTAATTGATAAAATTGATAAATACAATATCCATATTTATATTCCTTACCTATTGTATCATGATTAAACCTCCCCCATTCTACACTGTTCCCATGCTTTTTTTCATCAAAATCTAAAAAATTTAAAGAAAAAGTTTAAATATAAAAAATAAATTTCTTAATATGCGTTGTGTCGAGCTTGGTAGGATTTTGAAAAATATGTTCAACAATCTAAATCTGTGAAAATATTTATTTCTTTGCAAAAATTTTTTTTGGTCTGCATTTCGTTGAATCCAGCTTATTTTCAAGTTTTCAAATTTTCAAGCGAAAATTTAGTTCAAATATGGTGCTTTACAACTCATTTAACACGTTTAAGGATGGTGTAGAGGATATGAAATCCCCGAAAGAGGATTATGAAATCCGCAAATCAGTTGTGTCGGACCCTGGAACCGGAGAAGACCTTCTCAACTTCCTCTCCTTTTACACACTCGTATTTAATATTGTTAAAATAAATTCGAAATATAAGGAAGACGATTTTTCCGACTCAAATGTGTACTCAAATCCATTTCCTCCATGTAGTGCCCACATGTCAAATCTGTAGAGGAATAAGGAAAAGTCTGTTTCTGTAGAGGAATAAGGAAAAGTGTGTTTCTGTAGAGGAATAAGGAAAAGTCTGTTTCTGTAGAGGATTAGGAAAAGTCTGTTTTTGTAGAGGATTAGGAAAAGTCTGTTTCTGTAGAGGAATAAGGATTAGTCTGTTTCTGTAGAGGATTAGGAAAAGTCTGTTTCTGTATAGGATTAGGAAAAGTCTGTTTCTGTAGAGGATTAGGAAAAGTCTGTTTCTGTAAAGGATTAGGAAAAGTCTGTCCTCCTTGATAAGTGAATCTAAAAAGACACTTGAAATTACATCTACGTTCTCTATTATCATAAACTTTTAAATCCTAACTAACTGTTCATGTGGAAAAAAATACGAATTAGAAATATTTTCATCTAAGTATCATTCCTGTATATGTAAAGATTTTCCAATGTGTGCCTAATGTACCCCTTTACTTAGATAAGGTGTTTGTGTGTGTGTGTGTGATTGACTTATGTGTGTCTGTTTCTAATCTGCAGACACTAATCCATCAATTTTGCACACTTCGCATACTTCACCGGGGGGTACACCTAGTTGCGAATCTGTAAAATTCGCACATTTTTAAATGTAAACAAAATTGAACAATAAAAGTAATTACTAATTATGTTAATTGAAAAAAAAATTGTGGAATATTTACAAAAAATGTATGTTATCTATTGTATGAACAAAATTAATATGTATCTGTAAAATCTGAAACGTCCAGCGGAGTAAAAACAGTTTGAATAGAATATATTGGGTATCTGGTATAAGGAGAGAATACACCATACTCATTCTTCATACAGGAGATACTCGTCCACAAACAACTAGTTGTGAATAATATCATCACCAGAACTCCTTCTACTCCTTTTCCGTAAACACTTACAAGGAGCTAATTATCAGTCTCGACTCTCTCTGTCCTCGAGACTTAGGGGGGACTTCTGTAGAGGATATGAAATCCCCGAAAGAGGATTATGAAATCCGCAAATCAGTTGTGTCGGACCCTGGAACCGGAGAAGACCTTCTCAACTTCCTCTCCTTTTACACACTCGTATTTAATATGTCTTTATATCTAGAAGCAATAAATGTACTTCTAAAATGGCTAGATTAAATGCCGGATATTATTTCTTTGTCTGCGAATTTGAAAAACTTCTCTCGATGACAAAATCGCGCCTGGTTTTATTGATCTTGTCATCAAAGTCCATTGTTATAGAAGCCATCTTTTTTCGAAGGAATTAAATTTGATGACAACCTCAGTGATAAATAATTTACTGCAGAAGGAAAAATTGTTAAAGTGAACTATTAAAAAAAAAGACGTAACACGCTCTAAATTCTTGTTATACCTGCCAGAGTAGGAGTATAAGGTCCACATTGCTTGTCAGGACTAGGTTGCATATCAACCCAGAAATTAGGCTGGCATCTATTCTCCTATACAGGGTGTTCCAATAAACATCGGATTTAAATTAGACAATATCTGAACACATCTTTGAAATCCATATCTGGTTCACTTTTATACACTAGGTTACAAGCAAGGGTTGAGATTTCAGGGACGACTATGGATTTTCCTCAGTTTAATTTCTAAAATTAATGGTTTGCTTTTCTTTTCTCGATCAAACTGAACCTTTGGATCGTAAATTTCAGGAGTTAAGGTCATCATTAAAGGCTTATCCTTTGTGGGTCATTCTAAACTGTTGGAAATATCATAAACCTGTTCTTCCATGACACATTTTTGAGCTTATTCTAAAATACGAAAAAGTTAAATGTTAAACCTATGTTAAATAAATGTATTTTATTGAAAGCATCTACGATCATTTAACAATTGAAATTAACAAAACAAAAAAAATATTGTTCTGCAAGTAACATATAAGATTGGAAAGAAGTGCAATTAGTTAAATAAAGAAAAATAAACGTACCTTCCATTTTTTCCATTTTTCGGTAGATTCGGCTGTCGAAAGTGATTCTCGTTTGAATCCTGAATAAAATTGAGTTTTGCTCTTACATATATCATTTTAATTAAATTTACAGGGTTTTCGTGAAGACTGTGCTGATTTTATTTTCACTTATATATTTAGATTTGCCGTTTTTATAATGTCTTTCTTATATTTCAAAATTTGAAGGTGTAAAACTTTAAAAGGCATATATCCAAACATATTCAGTTAGAATGAATACAATTTAAATAAATATTCGCCCTCATTTCAGTTTTTATCAAATCTCATTTTATTTTGACTTTGCATAAATTAATGTTGACCAAGGGATAACTTCAATTCGGAACGAAAGTTTCCGCAAAATAAACCTTTCTGCAAACTTTAACAATCCATATTACCGAAAGTATTCGCAATTGAGTATCGACATTACCGAAAATTTCCGCAATATATATTTTAAAAGTATCTGGAATTTTACCGAAAGTTTCCGCAAACTGTGTTGCCTTCTCCCCGACGAGTAGAGTATGTTTGGTATGATCTAAAACCTTCCTGGCAACCCTCATTACAGGCTTTATGTACTGCAGGCAACCAACAGCACCAACCTGCAGTACGGTACAACAGTCTCAGACTACAGGTAATATAAAATCTGAGAGTACAGTTCATGAGAGTTGTTTTCAAAATCCAAGCTTTTTGATTTTTTTTTGTGAAATCACAGAATAGTTTAACAAATAAAAATCATGACCTCATTTTAAAAAGTCCGTTCTTGGGGAGCAGCACATACAAGCTTAAAGGGGTCGTAGACGTGAAGGGCATGGCTGTGAATCGGAGATGACATTCTCCAAATATAGAATCTACAGTCTTTTTAATTGTATTTGAGAGTCTTATACAGGGTGTCCCGCGAAACATGACAAATGGTAAATAGTTTAGAATGTCTTCTTCCAAAATTTGTTAGGTTGTTTAATACCAAAGACAATAATAAGTATATTATATAGGAGTCATATTATAGTAAAATTAACTTTAAAGTAAAATATATTTGAGCAAAAGATGTTTTAAACGAAATAAACTGCAAACCGCCTTTAATATCTAATACGGTGTATGGAAGGCGACATTCAAAACTATTTACCAACTGTCATGTTTCGTGGGACACCCTGTACTTCAGCAACAAAAACAGAGGCACAAAAAAGACAAACCAATAAATAAATTGATTATAATATTTACATTTAGTGTATTTCCATCCATGATCATAGCATCAAGCGTAGTCTCACCAGATTCATCAGGACTACCCCCATATCCAACCTAAACATGTTTATCAGGACTACCCCCATATCCAACCTAAACATGTTTATCAGGACTACCTCCATATCCAACCTAAGCATGTTTATCAGGACTACCCCCATATCCAACCTAAACATGTTTATCAGGACTACCCCCATATCCAACCTAAACATGTTTATCAGGACTACCCCCATATCCAACCTAAACATGTTTATCAGGACTAACCCCATATCCAACCTAAACATGTTCATCAGAACTACCTCCATATCCAACCTATAAACATGTTCATCAGAACTACCCCCATATCCAACCTATAAACATGTTCATCAGAACTACCCGCATATCTAACCTAAACATGTTCATCAGAACTATATCTATTTTTGACCTTAACATGTTCATTAAGACTAGCCCCATATCCCACATAAAAAGGTTCATCTGAACTACATCTATTTTCATCCCAAAAATGGGTGTACTTTTATCCCAAAAATGGGTGTACTTTTCCGAAAGTCTTTTCCCATTGGTAACTTCCCAAATGTGCAATTTCCCTAATGTACATTTAAGGTTAGGTTAGCCTTCTGGGGCACCGCCTATGTTACAGTGAGGGCCAGTGCTACGGCTAGGATGGTCTAAGGGCCGAGCACTGCGGCTGGATCAGTAACGTTTCGTATAGTACATTTTCGTATAGTAACATTTTGTCTAGTACATTTTGTTTTGGTAACATTTGGTATAGGTAACATTTTGTATAGGTAACATTTTGTATAGGTAACATTTCGTACAGGTAACATTTTGTATAGATAACATTTCGTATAGGTAACATTTTGTATAGGTAACATCCATAGTAATTTTTCGTATAAATGTAAAAATTAAAGAACGTCGAGATATTTTTGTAAGAAAATCATGAATATTTCACTAAGAAAACTGCGAACCATTTAAAGAAAATCCGCAAAATTACAAAAACCTCAAGCATGTCTCTGATAAGACTTACTAAGTCTACTCGTGGAAAGGATGCAATAATCGATAACAACTATCATAAATATACCTTTAATAGTACTGGAAAAAATGTTAACTATTGGACCTGTGCAAACAGAAGTTGTAAGGCAAGGATTTCCACCCGGAAATCAATAGGGAACCTGTAGGACAATCAATTCCTCTGCATGATCATGGTAATCAGCTCCTGACCAAGAAGGCTAAAGAACATGAGGTCGGTGTCCTTGACAACCTGGCCAATGTTCCAGCAGTGTTGCAGCAAATTAGTACCAACATCCTTGCCTCCTCAAGTCCAAATACCAAAATAGCTGATATTCGGTGTTTCATTTTTCATCTTTATTTTTACATTTATACGAAAAATTACTTTAAGTGTTTCCTATACGAAATCTTACCTATACCAAATGTTATCTAGACGAAATGTAACCTATACGAAATGTTACCTATACAAAGTGTACTATACGAAATGTTACCTATACAAAATGTTACTGATCCCTGTGGCTAGAATAGGTTAGGGGCAGATCTCTGCGACTAGAAAAGGCTACGAAGTTGCCACTTGGAAAAATACCCCTGGGAAATGCATTTGGGAAATTACCTAACATCTAAATATGTTCATCAGGACTATCATACCCAGTTCCGATCTCTAATTTTTTTTTCAGGGATACCTGGAATCACTATACTCACATTACATATCTCACTTTTAAAAGGATGTTCAAGTACAGGGGGAGACAAAAAACCGTAGAATAAGAAGACGATTGTTACACTGAATTGGTTTAATTTTAAATAGTTTGATCAACATGAAGGACAACAATAAAAAATCATTCCTAAATAGTTGATTGCTTAGCTACACTGATAAAACTATTTTATCATACACTGCTAAAATGTCGTCTTCCTATTTGTGGGCATCCCTAGTGTATTGTTTTCCTTTCCCAAATTAAAAATAAATTTAAATCACATGGAGAATCACTTTACCCAAGTTCAAATATTATTTAGAAATCAATGGAATGAATTTACTATTACCGTTCCGTCACACTGAAGTTCTTCACAGACAGTACACCCTTCCTGAATATAATATTTGTATACATAAATTAAACAAAGGACTTTTAAACAGCTTTATGTTTGCAAGCAAATGTTAAAGAAGAATAGAAGTAAGTTTTCACCCAAAACTTTTTTCCTAGCTTTAAACGATAAAAGTTTATATAATTTTTATCAAAATTAATTATTAAAATGTTGTAACTATACCTCTATGCTGTCCAAAACATTACCACCCTTTTCAAGAACCTAGAAATATTTCCTCCAACATTTTTGGGTTTTTATTTATCATATATTATACAGAGCGTTTCATTTTATATTGGAAATTTTTTAAGCATTAGGGCCAAATTACTTACAGAATACTCTTTTTTTATATACTCCTGAAAATGTTAGTTTATTGAATCTATAAACGGTTTAATATGGTTCGGGGCACCCTGTATTTAAACATGAATCATTGAAAAATACATATTACACAAGTACAATTAACTGAATTTATGCTGAGGTTTCGCATAGGAAATGCAATCTTTACTTCTTTTATCAGAAAGTGGTACCTGCCATGCTGCCAGGTTTGCCTCTAGGAAGTTCCAAGTGCTGACTACTATACTTCCGTTCATAGTCTTGCCCTCTAAACAGGACTTTATTTTCGTTCACAAAAAATCATTACCAAAATTAGTTCCAAAATTATTAAAAAGAAAACAAAATAAGTCCGGAAAACGTTTAATATTACAAAAATTGTCCGGAAAACGTTGAATTATTACAAAATTAGTCCGGAAAACGTTTAATATTACAAAATTAATCCAGGAAACGTTGAATTATTACAAAAAAGTCCGGAAAACGTTTAATATTACACAAATAGTCCGGAAAACATTGAACAATTACAAAAATTGTCCGGAAAACATTTAATATTATAAAATTAATCCAGAAAACGTTGAATTATTGCAAAAATAGTTCGGAAAACGTTTAATATTACAAAAATAGTCCGGAAAACGTTGAATTATTACAAAAATAGTCCGGAAAACGTATTTAATATTATAAAATTAATCCAGAAAACGTTGAATTATTGCAAAAATAGTTCGGAAAACGTTTAATATTACAAAAATAGTCCGGAAAACGTTGAATTATTACAAAAATAGTCCGGAAAACGTTTAATATTACAAAAATTGTCCGGAAAACGTTGAATTATTACAAAAATAGTCCGGAAAACGTTTAATATTACAAAAATTGTCCGGAAAACGTTGAATTATTACAAAAATAGTCCGGAAAACTTTGAATTATTACAAAAATAGTCCGGAAAACGTTGAATTATTACAAAAATAGTCCGGAAAACGTTTAATATTACAAAAATTGTCCGGAAAACGTTGAATTATTACAAAAATTGTCCGGAAAACGTTGAATTATTACAAAAATAGTCCGGAAAACGTTACAAAAATTGTCCGGAAAACGTTGAATTATTACAAAAATAGTCCGGAAAACGTTTAATATTACAAAAATTGTCCGGAAAACGTTGAATTATTACAAAATTAGTTCGGAAAACGTTTAATAGTACAAAATTAATCCAGAAAACGTTGAATTATTACAAAAATAGTCCGGAAAACGTTTAATAATCACAAAGTTAGATTAAGTAAAGTAAAATAAAACAGTAAATAATTAACTACACTTATTACTAATATACGGTCTCTGGAACTGGAAATATAACCTTTTTTAGCCTCCACATTCATGTAAATTTCTAGTATTATTTAAACACTTAATATTAAAGGGTCTGCAAGGTAATTTAAAGTGACCCTTCATGCGAAGATGACAATTTACGATTCACAACGGTACCCTAGCTTGTTGGATTAAGTATATGAATTAGATATCAATGTTTAAAATTTCGAAAACTGATTGTTTTATTTTTAATTCTCTACAAACGTGACTTGCGCATTTCTAGTGCAGGAAAACATATAGGAAAGATCAGAATTTATATCTGTTAAACCTAGAAAAACGACAATTTCTTGAAGAGATACAAGTTTTAAGGAAATCGTTGTAAATCGGGCATTTTCATCTTTGTAAGGAGGGTCTCCACAAATAACATTTACAATTCCTTTAATGAAAGAATGAAGAAGAAAACGTACAAACCTAAGGTATTAAGAATGATGAGTTGAAATATAAGAATATTTAGAATCTGTATTCTTGTTCCCAGCATTCTAATAACTATATGTTTGTATTGAAATATGTCTATCTATATTAAGATAAAACAAGTTCCAGTAATCAGCTGATTTAACACTATTTGTTTATCACAATCAACGTATCTCTGAATGTTTATAATCAACAGAAACCCAACCCTTTTATCACTCATCTGTAATGTCTAATTTATCAAAATTTCAGACATCAATTTTTTAAAAAGAAATGCCTTTCAATTTTATTCAAAATGGTTTTTAATACATAATTAACAAAAATCTATATTTGTCTCCTTGAAACTTTTTTGGGTGTAAAAAGTTCCCATGGTTCTTCGGTTGTCCCTAAAAGTTCTGTGTTTTCTGAAAACTTGTCTACCATAGAATTTATATGATTTTCTAAAAATAGGTATGATATGATGGATGTGTTCTAAATGAGATATCTAGTAGGGGATTGCTAAAAAAAGAACCTTGCGATGATATACTATAACAGCATAATCAGAGGTCTATGAAAATAGAGCAACCACATTCAAACCACATTTAAATCACATTTAAACCGCATTTGAACTGCACTGAACCGAATAAACCGTATTTACTGCGAAGATTTGTAGGCCAAAAAATCAGTGTCCAACTCTATATAATGCGTTGGCGATTACTTCAATATATTATCGCCTACCACTGTACTATAAAGGTAGAGTCCTCTTTAACTTGACATGTTTACAAGGAAAGAACAGTGGACTGCATCACATGGGTTGTAGGCGTTGTAAGCGACAAAACTTCTTCACCTTTCAATAAAATATAAATATCTTCCAGGCAACTTATCAAGTTTAGAAAATCCTTATACAAGGGATTGTTTAAATATTTCGGCAATGTAAAACTAATCAATTTTAAAATTTTGTTTGCCAGAGATTATCAAAAACAAAATAAGGTACAGGGTTACCCATAAAGGATGAGGCTGTGAAGACGACCTGAAAGAAATAACAATTCTAAGGTTGAATTAAGTCTTCTGCCTTAAATATAGTCGTTTAATAGCTTATTTTTAGAACAAGACAAGATTTGCAGTTGAAGGGAACAATGAGTATAAGGCCTGAAAGAGACATAAATTCAGTACAGTCGTCTCTGAAGTCTTATCATTTGTGGGTTACCCTGCACATTTCAGGGTACATAGTACAGGGTACTTTAATTTTTCTTAATGAACAAGATATCCTGAGAATTAGAACTGACAAGTGACAAGTGACCAACCTACTCTAAGGACATGTATGAAGGATAAAACTTCTTAATTAGGGGGAGTTGGTTCGAAACATGTTGTTCTACACATTTATCCAAGTTTTCAGGGTTTAGCGTTAAAAATCTTTAAGAAAGTATTTATTTTCTGTTTTTTGTTAACTCTATCAAGATTAAAGATAGCATATATTTTTAGATTTATCTGATGTCACAAACTTGACCAAATATAAGAAAAATAGAACTGAACATGCTTTATAACTCTAGTTTTGCCATCCATATATCTTTGCAACATTAACAGTTCAAACTATGAATTCTGATTGATCAATTAGTTATTGTTTGAAATAACACCATCAGACTGCATAGAAAATTAGAGTTTGCGAAAAGAAATCAGTTTCTCTTTTTTGTCTTAAAATATTTGAATTCCATAAAAAACATAAATTTAAATAAACAAGTGAAAACCCCGATCAAAAAAAAAATACTTTAAAGTTCTATGGCGCGTTATTTTGCAGAAAGTTACAACTATTATGCATTTAAAGGGGTTGTTAAGATAATTAGTGTCACTTCTCAGCCCATGTCCCAGTTTTACAACTTCTCCCTCATGAGATTTTATCTAGGACTGGACACGGTCGGATGCTTATCAACAATTTAGTAAAATGTGCATCTAAACCTAAACCTTCAAACTTTAATTAAATGATGCATTTGTTAATTATTTATATTTTTGCTGAGATGAATTATTCCAGGAATAATCTTAAGTAAATGCTGGATGCAGTACGATCTGAATTTGACTATAATATTTGTATATTTATCAATATACTTTGCTTGTCTGTGTGCCTGTTTGTTTGTCTGTCTGCTTGTATCTAATGAACGTCAAAACGGTTGAACCGATCGGGCCCAAATTTTGTGTGGAAGCTCACAGGACCCCAGGAAAGTTTTATGGATGCTCAAAGTTGCAAAAATTTGTGTCCGAAAGTTTTTGATTTTTGTTAAATTTGAAATTGCGCAAAAAATATTAAATCCGCGAACTTTTTTTGTGATTGTTTTTAAATAGAGAAGATGTTTACAGATAAAGCCTCTATTAAAAGTTGAAATAGAAGATGGGAGCGAAGTGGCCTAAAAGCCTAGTATTTACATATTTGGCTTGTCAATTTATTATTTTGTTTGTATCCAATAAACGTTAAAACTGCTAAACTGATCCGTCCAAAACATGTATGGTTCTAACGCTAAAAAAAGTTCTAAAGTTTTTGGACTTAAAAAAAGTCCTCAAAATGAAAGGGCTTACCTTTTCCACACTTTATTTTCTATGACTTTTTTCTTGTTCCAGTTAATCCTGGAAGAAATTAGCATTGGAGACCCCAGCTCCAATGAACAGCTTGGGGTCTCCAATGAAAATCTGGGGGTCTCCGAGTGTGCTCCAATGCTGATGATTTCTTCCCTAACTCTGTTCCAGGACGTTTTTGTCCACTTGAAATCACAATTAGTGTTCTGAAATTATTGGTATGTCTGCAGAAGTATCAGTATCTATGATATTTTACGTACATTGAAATTAAAAATATGAAATTTACTTTCAAAGTGTGTTATTAATAAGATATTGTGTAATTTTTTGCAATTATTTTTGCAGGCTACACTTGCAAAAATACCTGTATTAGCTGAGAAGTTCATTTAGATTATTTGCAATGATGCATACAGCATAATTTGCATGTGCAGTAAAACACGTAATTTATGCATGAGGGGTGTACAGAAAATTTAAGAACAAAGGAATTGAGTCTTTGCCACCAACTCTGATTTTCTAATCCCTATATCTTTGGAACCAAATGTTTCAGACCTTAGATATTTCAAACTATGAATTCTGTTAGATCAAATAATCTGAATTTGAAATATTAAAGGTTTACAACATCGAGTTCTAAAGATATTGAGGTTTAAATATTTGATTTTGTTCCAAAGACTCAATTCCTTTACTGACAATTTTAGTTTTAAAAAAATCTTCGAACGTTTTATTTTTTGCTTATTTTAAAATCCCCCTGTAGTCTATAGAGAGTAGTGCACCTAAACATATAACAAATATAATTTGAAAACCCAATTATTACAAACTGCCCCATTAGATGGATATTAGTGGATATTAGTGAATATAAGCGGATACTTTGCCTAATTGCTCTTCATTAATGGGTTGTGGAATCCTGCTAATGTAGGTTGAGGAATCCCAAAACTTCAGGTTTTCAACACTTAAAAGAAAAACTATTGATGAACAACAAATAGCAATTACTTAGGAATTTACAGGCATCATTTCTTTATAAACAAGGGAACTAGCTTCTTTCTACCTCTTTCATTGACGCAGATATAAAATATTGAGACTTTGAAATTAAAATATTTATTTTCTGCGACTTTTGGAAAAATATCAATATTTATTAAATTAAAAACAGTTTGCAAACAAAATTATTAAGTTTTGAAGCGTTTCTGTAGAGGAATAAGGAAAAGTCTGTTTCTGTAGAGGAATAAGGAAAAGTCTGTTTCTGTAGAGGAATAAGGAAAAGTCTGTTTCTGTAGAGGAATAAGGAAAAGTCTGTTTCTGTAGAGGAATAAGGAAAAGTCTGTTTCTGTAGAGGAATAAGGAAAAGTCTGTTTCTGTAGAGGAATAAGGAAAAGTCTGTTTCTGTAGAGGAATAAGGAAAAGTCTGTTTCTGTAGAGGAATAAGGAAAAGTCTGTTTCTGTAGAGGAATAAGGAAAAGTCTGTTTCTGTAGAGGAATAAGGAAAAGTCTGTTTCTGTAGAGGAATAAGGAAAAGTCTGTTTCTGTAGAGGAATAAGGAAAAGTCTGTTTCTGTAGAGGAATAAGGAAAAGTCTGTTTCTGTAGAGGAATAAGGAAAAGTCTGTTTCTGTAGAGGAATAAGGAAAAGTCTGTTTCTGTAGAGGAATAAGGAAAAGTCTGTTTCTGTAGAGGAATAAGGAAAAGTCTGTTTCTGTAGAGGAATAAGGAAAAGTCTGTTTCTGTAGAGGAATAAGGAAAAGTCTGTTTCTGTAGAGGAATAAGGAAAAGTCTGTTTCTGTAGAGGAATAAGGAAAAGTCTGTTTCTGTAGAGGAATAAGGAAAAGTCTGTTTCTGTAGAGGAATAAGGAAAAGTCTGTTTCTGTAGAGGAATAAGGAAAAGTCTGTTTCTGTAGAGGAATAAGGAAAAGTCTGTTTCTGTAGAGGAATAAGGAAAAGTCTGTTTCTGNGGTTGTCCTTTATAAATGAGAGGTAGGTACTAATTTCCAGGAGTTTGATTTTCAGTCGAGGATACTTCATCCAATTATACCCATATCTCTTTTTAATCATAACAAACCCTACAATTTTGACTTTAGAAGCATGAGTCAAGGTTTTTTATCTAAAAATATTTAATTCAATTATACTAAAGGGTCAGCGAACTAGAGTTTTCAAACTTGATTACTAATTCATTAATCAATCAATCAACTCATAAATCATTTTTAAGTGATCCTAAAAGCCCATTAGTTGAGTCGTCTTTTTGGTTAAATAAAATGAATGATCAGTTTACAGAGAGATTCAAAAAACATGATTGGAATCTATGTGATACGATCAAAATTCAAGAGCGAACTAATAACTTCAGATCCTTTAAAAAATGGGGTTAACTGAACTCATATTTGTATTTTTGATATTAGCAAATACTTTATTTTTTTCACCTTTGTTCTCTATTGTTCATATTTGTTTGTTTTTGAATTTATAAAATGCATCTTTTCTTTTTCTTTTCTTAGTCATTGTTTTGGTGTGTTCATTTTATTCATTCTTGTTTCATCAATGCATGATTTTATCCACATTCATCTTTTTGAATTTCATTTTTTTATTTGTTTTTCATTCTATATTTGTATTTTATAAATAT